ATTAATGGCCAAAATTGTAAAGTAACAGCTGAGATCATTTCATCAGTAAAGGTGTCATTGATTAATTTGTGTGACTCAGAACTGAATTCAACTATTCTTAGGCACAGAAATTAAATAAAAATTATCATTGAATTACTGAATCGGACCTACCTATTTGATAACTGCTCCAGTTTTACGCATCAAAAATTAATTTATCCTGAGGATATCAAACAAATAATTGGCGCACGATTGCTCGATCTTATTACTCGATCTATTAACAATTGAAACCTTATAATATTTTAAAATATGCAGCATTATGGAAAGGAAAAGTCAAAAAGTTATACGATCAGTCAATCAACCACATAGTTAGGCTGAAGAATTTCAGAAAATGATAGAGAAAATTTAAAAAAAAAGAATTTTGAACAATTTTTAAGAAAATATAGTGCACCGTGTATGTTACGTTAAATAATTAGAATTTTTAGTCAAAGAAAAATCAATGAATCAAATTTCTAACGAAAGAAAAAGTTGCGATGAATTTGGTTAAAAAAAATCTTACGAAGCTAATGCTCAAAGATTGGAACAAGTGGGTATAAACTCATAAAATTTTCGCTTGGATGATGAAAGATTAATAATGATTCCTCATCCAGTTTTTTGATCTTGATAACGAACCAAAAGGCGAAGTAGAAGAAATAGCAAAGATTTAGGTGATAAAGTGATAAACAAAGGATGAAAAGTTTTTTTTGAAGCAAATCAAGATGGAAAGAAATTCGACAACAAATAGGCGCAAATTTCTCATTTATCATTCTGATTTGTAATACAATGGGTTTCTTGGATACAAATTTACCACTCATAAAAGACGTAAAAAAATATCATCCATCCACGCAGAGGTGTAAAAACAACATTTAAGGAAAACTACAGAATATTCCAAATTTTCAGTTTCCATATTTTACATTATATTTTTTCTTTAATGATATTTTTTGCTTCATCTGTCTCTTAAAAGAAATTTAGCTAATTACTGCTAACCAACTTTTAGACCTCTTTTTTTCTCAATCGTTTGGTCTGCCAAAATTTTATTTCCTTCTATATATGCCTTTTTTCATTTCCTTTTCTCTTTATAATTGTAAAATTTCGTTTTTTTAGTGAATAATTAATGATGAATGCAATTTTTTTATTGATTTATATTATCTATTTAATTTCGAAATGAATATATTTATTTAAATTAGCGTGTTTTGCTTCGTTACGGCGAGATGATTCTTTTGCAGGTGAGTTACTGATGGATAATCAAATAATTGGTTCCTAGCGCTACATATCATTTTAACTGATAACCGACTTGCTCCCATCGAGAATTGCACCCAAGGTCTCACTCAAGATCTCGATCTCACTCAAAATTAATATACCATTTACATCTACGATATAAATTTGAAAATTTGTTTACTTATCTCATTTGGTGAATGAACTGACTCGAAACGATTATTTTGCTATAATTCGATAATGACGCTTCTCCTATGCTTTTTTATATTGCCTTAAACTTCTTACCTACAATCACTTCCTTAATTCTATTTGTAAATGATATAGGAAGAATTAATAAAATTAAATATAGAATTTGCAAGTTTTCATGGACGGATGAATAGGAAATACGCGACTATGGACCATAATATTAAAATTAATACAATAATGCATACGATGGGAATGTGTAATAATAATGGTCATTCGACGTCATGACAAATACTTCATTGAGAAATATTCATAGCATGTTATGTCACATCTTGATGACATTAAGCAAATAACATATTTTACGATGTTCTATCGAAATTGAATCGAGAATAAGAAAAGTCTAAAATGGTTTACGCAGTTTCTTAATCATTCCAAAAGGTTGAGATCGATTCACTGTAGTAAAAAATTCATCTACAACAGTCCAAGTGATACATTAGAATACTTACATTTAACTGCAATTGCATTTTGCAGTTCATTCATGCAATAATATTTTAAATTAAGAACCACGAAGAAGCAAATTATTAATCATTTAAGAACTTACTTCTAAAGAAATATATCGAATTTTTGATGAATTTTAAAGCGTCGTTACGTCAAAAAATGTAATTTGCGAAAATGAAATTTTAAATTTGTTTTTTAAAAAGTTTTTGACGTCTGTTCATTATCGATCATTATTTTATTTCTACACGAAAAAGTAAAGAAAAAATCTTTCTTGATGAATTAAAAATTTCCGGAAATTGGAGCTGAATGGACTGAAATGAGGCATTTGTAATTTCATGTCAATCGAACCCTTTCTACTTCATTTGAATTGCCATACCACAGCTCATTTGTCTTTTTGCTGAGGTAGGTGAGAGATTTAAAATAAAATTCTACGGAAACAATAAAGAGCCAATTAATGGGTCAATTGTTTAATGTAGTAAATCTAATCTAATCGCACTAAGAACTAGCAAGAATAAAATAAGCCGACAAGTGAGAAAAAGAGGATTAAAAAAGATTTCATCAAATAAACAAAAAAAAGCCTAAAATAGATCAGCTCTGGAAAATTCTTTTATTAACGCTTATGATATTAGATGTTAAAATATCCAAATTATTTTTGATTAAATTTGTGCAGTTGATGTTACCACTAAAAAATTGACTGGTAGTCGTATATTTATTGGACTGGAATTCCACGAGGTTGAAATTAATTCGCAATTAATTTTCAGATAATGTCGATGGCTAATGCTGACCAGCTGAATTTAATCAAGGCGTTGTAACTTTACTTCTGCTGCCTGTACTAACCTTTCCCGATTTTATAAACCACTTCAAAATATTTTCGTCGATGATTTCAAGTTTTATGACAAATGGACAAAAAGTACAAAAGTTCGAGCCTCTTGAAAGACATAAACTTGTCATTAAAAGTGAATAGAGGTGGTGCTCGAAACTCCACCTGTATTCCCATCTCCAAATGATCTTTCAGGCGAGAGTGTATCGCCTTAGTATTCAGTGAGACCAGCCAAACCAGAAAGCGCACTAACAATTTTGTGCCGGGCTTATCTATAATAGACCAGCCTGTTTATTTAGAAATCTATGAAGAGACGAATTTTTTTATAAAATACGGCTGCAGTTGTATAATTTAGCTTTCATTAACTTTAATTTCACACTTTTTTCACTTCTTCCTTCGTTTACCCACTCAAATTTAAATAAAAGAAAATTTCTATTGATTTCGATAAGTATAATATATAAACCAAAAATTCTTTCCTCCCGATTTTTTCACATTTCTTTACATCCCATTGGATATTTGCCTTTTTGCAAACAAAGTTTATCGGCATTCTTCAGTTCGTTTTGCCTCCCAAAAAAAAGCTATAGCTACTCTCTTCCAGAAAAAAAGTATTAATACAATTTTTCGCGAGAAAATGATGAATAATTTTGAATAGAATCCTAAATTACATAATTTGCAATAATTTTCGATTTTTTTAAAATTTTGTTTAATGTGCTTGGAGAGATTTTTTAAAAAATTTCGCTGGCTCCATGTTGGCCATTCAGCTAATTTTTCATTAAGTTAATAAGTTGAAGTTGAGCAGCGCAATAACGTAAAAATTAATCTTAAGCAAGATCATGCAAGGTTTAATTCCTTTCGAGATCAGAAAAACTTAAATCCATATGCAAATTGATCCATGAAATATTCAAAGAGGAATTTCCGAAAGGGTTATCACTCACCCTATTTCTTGTTGTCTATCTTCCAGACTGTGATGTTGATTTAATTCTGTATTCTGCTGGAATAACGTTGAACGAATAAAAAATAAGAAAAAAACTTATGTTCAATTTAGGTAAAATACTGAAAAGTTCCGTGTAAATCATTCATTTACTGGTGTTTTCCAATTTTTTCATTATGACCAATTCCAACAAATGGAATTCATATTTTATTAATAAAGTCAAGTTTTTCAATTTATGCTAGTTAATTATTTTTAAAAAAATTTAGCAACTACAGTACTTCATTAAGATTTTAGTCCGAAGGAAAAAAGCATTATAGAATGAAGCAAAGAACTATCATTTATAAGCAATGTAAATGCATTATATCTAAATTGTATCCACAGTGCATCTGATAAATAAATAAAAGCTTAATTTGATCTTAAAGTATTTCATCTCATCTTCAAAAAATCCTTAGCTAAAAACCGCTGCGTAACATCTGGTTGATTTTGTTTGTCTCACTGTAAACTTTGCCATTAAAGGGGCTGGAATTAGATTATGGATAAAAATTTTGGATATCGACAAAATACTTATACAGCACTTCACAAAAAGCAAAAAAATGATATGAACGACTCGAAAAAGACAAGAATATTTTGATAAATTTAAGTCAAATTTGTCGTTTCACCAAAAAACAAGGCTAAGATTCAAGCATAAAATTTCTTTAAGCTCGCTTTGATAAATCTAATGAAATCTAATTAATACATAAAAGCCTGATGTTGATTCTTAAATTAATCATCACAACTGATGGTCGACTAGTTTATTTCGAAGCCATTTATTCAATCATAAAGAAATGATGCATACTAATTGAGCAAATAAAAAATATTGCATACTTTTGCTGAAGTACTCAAAATTAACGCAAAAATCGGATCATTTAGTATGGGCGTCTTTCGAGCGAACTCTTCAGTGTATGCCTGAAATATATGAAAAATAATTGACAATCGACGAATTTCATTTTTCATTTAAATTATTTTTTCAATTGTTCATAGCTTCTTCTATGAAAACAGAATTGATATGAACAGCAGGAATTTTCGACACAGTGGAAAAAAAAAGATGGCTTTTTGCGGAAAACGATGTCGGAAAAGGTGTTATTTTGAGATATGGAGTCAAAATAAGAGGCTTGCGAAAACTTCACTCCTGTGGGCAGCGGAGGCCCTCTAATAAAATGCACACTATTAGCAGAAAAAGAACTGTTATTTGAATCAGGTTAATACTTTGTATATCGAGAATCTATGTTACGTATATATTGTGCTATATTGCCATCATATACAAGTAATTTTTAGTAAATAACATAAAAATGCGAAAAATTACTGAATTGGGTATGGATTTGCAACTGTTTGCCATGCTTCTTTGTCTTCGAATTGCCAATAGCCATGCCTAATCTTAAAATTCATGAAATTAAACAGAATAGATATTTTAAATTATTGTCTAAATCTAAAATCATTAAAATTATAAATATTCCTGCAAAATTTCAATAAATTCTTTGTCAACAGCGGAATGAAACAAATGAAAGCTTATTCCATTATGGGCTTTTTACAGATGGGTATCTTAGAAGTATGTTCTGGGCTTGAATTAATTTTTACTAATGGCGCTTAATTCATCGACTCTTATCTATCGAATGAGGATATGAGGAATCCATACTAAACAAGGAAACGACAAACTAAAGAAAACTCCATCAAAGCATTCTGATTTTTAAGTGAGAAAATAGGTTGCAGTTTTCTTTTTACTATTTTCGATAACTGGTGTCTAATTCATCATTAATAATTTAATTTAGCCAGTCGAAATTTTTAAGAAAAGTCAACCTCAGGAAGTGGTTCACGATAGGCACTTTCAAACACTGCAAGTTCGTTTTCATTTGGCAACTTTTCATCATCTTTGTATATTGTCGTAGAGGCACTAAATCGATTTTGCTTTAAACGGATTTTTTTTGTATAATTCACCACGTTCTTTATATAGTATAGCTTAAATCCTCAAATAATTCCAAGATTTTGATAGTACTTCCTTATTACATCCTTAAAAAATATTCTATAGATATCGATAGAGATGCAATTATTTGATGCGAATATCACATACGATTTTTTATCCTAATAAAAATGAAGTGAATTACGGATGGTTGAGAACTCAGTTGCACCAGGTAACTCAGGGCGAAAGGTTTTAACCTAGTAACTTCAGCTCGTACCATTACTAATTTGTTTGGCTTCATTAGCAATTAAGATAAAATGTTTATAAGCTTTTAAATAATTGAAATATTATTAATTAATAAAAGTTTCAAAATTTCTAAGTATCTTTTTGCAGTTTCCATCTCATATTTCATATTCGTGAACTTGCTATCATAGATCCGAAATTTCTTCGCTTGTCGTGACAGGAGTAAAACCATATCTGAGTGGTTTAGGACTTACCTGTCTCTATTCCCAAATGCTAAAGGGCTAAAAAAACTCTCAGTAACTAGTGGAACCAACCAAAGCAGAAATGTTGAATGTTGTTAGAAGTAGACCGTCTTTTACAAAAACGAAAATATCAGTCTGAATATGTTGAAAAAGTTTTTAAATAATTCATTTGAATAAGGTCGTTGATTTCTATGATTTAATGAAGGATTAGTATTTTTTTCAATTTTTCGAGCCTTTCCTACTGATGAAAGGATATGATCTGCCGATCAGCAAAATTATAATAAATAAATAAAGTTCCAATTTCTTTAACGCTTATAATCTTAAACAACTGCATAAATTCAGCAAAAAAGAGTTATGACCAGATGTTCGGATTGTTCAAACTGAAATTTTTTATTTTCTTCAATTTGTTCAAAAAGAATACATCGTTTTGCACTCAGTAATACCAAACAATCAATGGGATAAGGAAAAAGAATTATAGCTCATTTCTGTGATTCCACAGAATCTTAAAGAAGAAAGAACATAGCTTGGTAAACTAGACGATGGATGTTAAAAAATAAATAAAAATTAATAAACGAACGGAATTTCAATGGCTCCATCACCGTCGAGTAAGTGAGCGGCCCATCCACAATGAAATAACAATATTCCAACTATTATCAATATCAGGGCTAGTGGCACAAGTGCTGAAGCTCTAAAAAGAATACCAATAAAATCACTTGCTGAATGGTCAAATACCAGTAAGACTATGTTGCAATAATATAAGCAAAGCTTTGCATAATGTGCCTATGCTTCTTGTTGTTGAACTAAATGTATTCATGTACAGTAACACAGCAGCATATCACCATGGTTATGAAATTAAAGGCCGTGCTATTTGGCTATTTTATGTAAGTCGTTTGGTTTGAAAATTATCGTGTTTTATTAGCAATATGCTTATTGCTTATCAGCCAGTAATGATATGAGAACCAAATCTGAAAACAAAACTCCACTCTTAAATTATGATGAAAATGTTACTCTGAACGAATGCTTATTGAACGATATATTCCATAATTTTCAAGCCATAAAAATACTCAATATAATGGCAATATGTCTTCGCTTTATTTGCGGTTTCATTCTTGTAATAACTAAGAAACTAACTGACATTGTTGAACATTCAACTGCAATGCAAGTTAAAAGAAGGCCAAGTAATATCATAATTCCAATTGCAAATAATATTGCTCCAATAATCAGCACCACTTTCCTGAAATGCTAAGAAGCCAAAAATTTATAAAATTACATAAGTGATAATGGTTTTAGAATTAGAAAAATTGTTGCCAAAAAATCGTTGTGAAACAGTGGAGAAGAAAAAATTTCGAAAATAAAACAACCATAAGGTAAAATTTTCCTATTTTTATTCAAGACAATAAAAAAAATTTTGAAATTTTTATTCGATTTTTTCTTCTTATAATTTACAAAAATTTCCCTTGCGATCTTATTTTCCAAATTACAGAAAAAATGGGGTTTGGCAGCAGTTTGAATGAAAGATGTTGGAGAAATTACCGAGCAGGCCAAACACCTGTGTAAACAGGAATACATATATGACAAAATATTGGACACTGTCGACGGAGGTACCATGGCTCGTATTGTGACATCCTTAATTTATTAAAGAAATTAGAGCATATCGTATTTCTGAGATAGCGATAAAAGGAAACGACGAAAAATGCTCAGGTTGATTAACTAAATGCGATCATAAGCATGAGGTCACTCGCAGTATACAAAATGTTATTCCCCTTTTCTGAATGATCATATATGTGATTCTGAACCAAAATTCCATCTTTTCTTCCGAACAATAAACAAAAATGAAAAAATATTCTTACGCTTCTTGTGTATCGATGATGGAATGTATTGGTTGGGAAAATATTATTTGTTATTTGTTATTGCTCATTGATGATGTTGATTATTGATAAGATATACTGATTATATTGCAAATAATTTCCGGTATTAAATATTTAAAATAAAAAATCAGCGATTCACTATATTCAATGTATATGTCAATTTTTAACAATTCAATTTTTACAACATTTATTCCGAATTCGAATAATTTACAAGGATGGAAAAAGGTGAAAACTTATTAAGTATTCATCAATAATAAAAGTTAAAAAGAAAGCTAGTCAATCTGGTGCACTGAAATTTCATGCTGTCTCCATGCTGCACTGAAATTTGGTGATGAACTTATTTGCTTGCGACTATTTATGTTTCTTTATCTATTCAGTGATTTAAAAAATGCCACAATTATTGATGCCTATTCTCAATCACCAACTAAATCTTTTCCACAATTTTTTCCCTAAAATAAAACTTTTAAATTAACACTTATGCGATTTGTTCAACCTTTTCTACGCAAAATCCATCCAATAGTTTGGATTTGAAAAGAATGAAACAAAAAAAATTTTTTAGTGCATATTCCACTGTGTTCTCTGAATTCAGTTTTCTAAGTGAAGTCGAAATGTCTCAGATGCGTTTCACTAATTTACTTTAATTAATTTTCTATTATAATGCTCAAAATTTAATTTATGCGATTTTCCCTATATTTTCATGTAGAATCCTTTTGCCATCATGAAAAAAGCCATGAAAAATTGATATATTATTGACCATATAATCATATTTTGCACTCAAAATTTTTCAATAATTTCCAGTCTCAATAGCTATTTTAACTTTTTATAAATCTTCGATTCTACTATATTAATTTTCAAACAAAGCAAATTTTTGACAGATAAAAAATTGCTTTCTTTCTTATTCATATATTTAAAAACTAAATCTTAAAGATAGAATACTTGAGATAAAATGGAAAATGCTTGCTGTGTTATTGTAACGAAATTATTTACAAGTCTTAATCTTAAAAATTTCAGTTATTCAGATTAATCAGGCAGAAAAGTGGAAAAATGATAAAAAAAAATAAAACTGACATTTATCGGTAGCAGAATGAATTCAAGAGCAACTGAGAATATATTGCAGTATAGACTTGTTGATATAGCTGAACGCCCACAGCAACAATCTGTTGCTTAGCAGCAGCAGCTCGCCTTAGGGAATTTTCTCCACTCAGCTTTACAACGATATTGCTGCCAACAAGCAAAATATTTTTGTTTTAAGCTCGTATTTCGTAAATAAAAAGTATTAACTATTAGAAATAAATTGATTATGAAAGAGAGAGATTAATCACACAAAAAGTTAACATATGAATTTGTTAACCAGTTTACTAACTGATATATTCAGTGGAAAAATTGGACGATGCAATTCGATAAAATCCTGTAAAATATATCTTTAGAAGAGCGAATTGATCGGTGCTTTGTTTACAGCCAATTGTTAGTTTTATTTCACATTTGTTTCACAGTATGGAACTATGTTAAATATTGTATGCAAAGGGTTCAATGTTTACATATCAATTCTTATCAATCGTTAAAAAAAGATGAGACGAGGGAATACCTAACTTGTCCAACAATCAAAAATAACTTCTAAATCTGATGCATATATTAATTCAATTTTGATTTATCACTAGATATAGATATAGCTTTATTTCAATAAATTTACTGAGTTGCTTTTCAAATTTTATCATAAATTTGTACAGATGAATTTCTTAATATTAACTAAATGTTATTAACGTTCAATTCCTGAAGGCAATTTTTGGTTCATCATTCGTGAGATTAAAAGCTTTAATATCCTTATCTTTTAAAATTAAGACAAAATCTATTAAATCTGTAAATTGGAAATTTCCACATGTTATATTGTATATAGCAACATATATTTATTTTTGGTGCTGCAGATAAATTTTAAATCACGTTATTGTATAAAGTATATGATGCAAAAATTTGTGAGATAATTGTATGCCTTTTCACGAAAATTCTAAATAGATTTTGGTTCCTCGAAATAGCTTGTTTCATTCATAACGAAGGTCTTCAAGTGAATCCTGAAACTGTTTACCACTGTTTAGAATTTCGTTTAATGGCTAAATGTATATTATATTAATGGATTCATCATTTTGGAATCGCTTCAGATTTTTTGTTTATAGTATATACGATTGAAAACTAAAGTAGTTCATACTCATATTCCACCCATGCTATAATTTCTCATGCTTTATCTGTTAATTCTTACATGCTCGAATTTGTTCCAAAGGCATTTTACCTTCATGAATTCCAGTAACCATATTCTTGCTATACGTCGCAATGGTGTGGTCTAATATCTTATTCATTATGATTTCGCAAATATTTTTAAATATATAGACAAATGTCATAACATACGAATTATAAAATTTATAATTATAGATGAAAAATTATAGACGACTACATTAAAATCTAGAAATTTCAAGAATTAATAAGTTTTTAAAGCACCCACAATTCCAAAGTTGAAGCAGCGTTTAAGAAAAGTCTTAACGACAACATCGTGACGTGTGAAACTTATCATAGGAGAAGTGTTTTTTTTTAATAATTCTTTTGCGGTGATTTCATCCTCAACGAGTGGTAATACGAAATATCGCATAAAGTGCTTCAAATATCTGCGTTTCTAAAATTTCATTCGGAATAATTCCACAATTATTTCTTCCTTCTATAAAAAGCTAAAAGCTCAAGTTTTTACCAATATTTTTTTTGCATCTTCTAGCGTGCGATAATATAATAATTACAGTTTATTACAGAAATGGTATTTTTAAATGATATTTGTAATTTCACTCTCTAATTTATTTATATCTTCTACTTCTACTTATTCATAAAATCGTTTACAAAATCGTTTGCCTTTTACTTTTTTTTATAAAATTGCACAAATTAACTTCTTTCATTGCAAATAAATATTTTCTAAGAGACTGTTTTAATTCACATGATTTAGCTCTTTCAATATTTCGATGCATTTCGTATAGAGGTAATTCTCGCGTATCAACCAACAATCCTCGAGATTTCGCCTGAAGAAATGGCTAAAGGTATAAAATTTTATGAATTGGAAAGAATGTAAGTAAGTATTAATGTAAATATTATAAAGTAATATAAATACGAAGAATTTTATAAATATAACGGATTTCATAAGCGATTACAAACATAAAAAAAGTTGAATTGTGAAAAAAGCTCCAGCGAACCTCAAGATTTGTTCTAAATTCTGTTTGACTTGCCGCCCATCCTTGATAAGCTCTAACAGTTCTTTGACGATTCTTAAGACTCCGAATCGAGTGACGTGACTAGCAGTCGTTTTTCTTCGAACAGTTTGGAATTATTCTTCCATTACTTCAACATTCGAGTTCTTCTGCAATGAACGATCAAATACATATTTTCAAATAGGATGTTCAGTTGGTATTTTGCATGAATTTGCGTATGGATTCGATTTCTATTCATTGATCAGAATAAGCCTTTCACTAAAGATGAAATCACGATAGTGCTGGAGACCCATTTGTGTTCTTTTCCCGAGTGACTCTAAGGCGAAAGGACTTAGTCAATGGAGTCAACCAAACAAAAAAAGTTGAATACTACTAGATGACGTTTTAATTTTATAAAATCTTAGTCGTGTACCATTCTAAAGCACTACTAATCGTTTTATTCATTATTAATAGAGCAAAATTTTTCTTTTTCTTCGAAAATTAATTATCCTAATATGTTAATATCCTGTCAAATAACCAACATAAAATTTTCAACGATCAACAAATTTTTCGAAATAATGAAAAATTTAGCGTTCTCTGTATTTTCCATCCATATGATGGAAAACAGATCACCTAAACACGGTAAACCATCAGTAACAACTCCAAGAACTCTCAAATGCATTTGCAGCTGTTACCACATATACTGAAAATATCCTTAATGATTAAATGACTGTCATAAAAGTATTATTTGATTATTAAATTCGCCATAAAAGCATTCTTTTCATCTAAAATTCTCTTCACTATTTTTTAGCAAACTTTAAGACCTTATCATTTCTTTAACTTTTATCATTTTTATTACCATTGATATCATTTCGTAGAATATTTTCGAACATTGAACCGCTTTCACATGCTTCCATATAGAAAACAAGACTACGATACATACATTTGCCTATCAAACGTACTTTATAACACAGCATTTAAATCTTTCGCCGTAACCTGAATTGAACTTGAATAAATATTTCAACGACTGGTAATAAATTTCATTCGACTGAGAAACATAATTTCAGCAGAGAAAATGAAAAAGAAAAAAAATTTGAGAAAGCAATCTAATATCAGTGGACATATTGGAATGGACACAAAATCAGGATAATTCGGAATGGAATAGGCTATCGGAGTAAATTATTTAACATAAGAAAACATGCAATATCATTTGGAAAAGCGATAAGTCCAGTAGTTCCATGATACACAAAGTTAATGAAAACATTCTCAGTCGCTTTCTAAAACCATTTCCGCCGATCACAGCTTTCACAGCTTTCCAGTTAAAACACCGAAAAAATTTGGAGGATTTACATCATTGCCTTTGTAATCTATTGGCACTCCAGCATAAACGTCAGAACCATTTGGCTCATTAAAAATTTTGCCAAGATACAGATTCCTGAAAACTACTCGCAATCATCAGATGGTACCAAAAAAAACACTTTCGCACCATGCATTAGAGAACTTTGATACGGAAGTATTTCCTGTGTTTTACATTTTTGATTAAGAAATCGGAACTTTCGCGTATTTCCGTCAAATTATTCGAGTTAATTTTTCTTTCACATTTTTTAATATTCACTTACTACAATGCTATCTATGCATGCTTTTTTTAAAATTCTAATTAGAAAGATATTTAAGCTGAATTTTGCAGTTTAAAACTTATGCAAAAATAAATATTCATTGAAAGATTTTACATGGAATTGTTCACTATATCATCATACATCATCGTTATGATATTCTCAGGTTTAACATTACGGTTTATTAACAAGTGGTAGGCTCGACATACATTTGCCTGAATTCCATACTGCTTAACGGTAGTACCAGATATTTATAATTCTTGAAATGAAGGCTATTATTTTTAGCTGGACAAAAATGATTGGCTGATCACCCATTCGAACTGCAAAATAAATTTTTATTGTTTAGAGAATCTTAATAAATCTCATTGTAACATTTTACAATATAAATATAATTATCATTATATTTATATCAATTTTCAAATATTTTAAAATATATAAAAATGATAAAATATAAAATAAAATTTTAGGGAAACTATATGATGTGGTAGAAATAAAACGGCTTAATCTAGATTTTAATTTATTAATCCTCCACAATATTCAACAGTTATTCGAATAACATACTTGATGGCGATAATTATCCCAACCACTGGAACTAAAGACCAAAATTGCCCAAATGGATAAATGGTCAGTTATAACGATTGTTTCATGGCGAACCCTAAAAAAAATTGAATGAACTTATGAAAAATGGGACCTAGACAAACGTTATAATCATCGTTATTTTCAATAAAAAACCATGTTCAAGAATCAAAGGCAAATTGGAGCTTGTTTGGCTCAAAAATACCTATAGGCATGTCTTCGGCGGAGGCTTTTTTCTGAAAAAAGGCAAGTACCAACTGCCAATTACATTGGAAAGTTTAAACTAATAATAAATATTTAGAACCAGGACGAAAAAATATGAAAATCTGTTGAAGATATTCACTATCATCGTTTTGATTGTCCTTAGCAATTGAGGAAATTATTCAAAACAAAAGTGGCATGAGCGGAGCCAAAAAACATTAAAGGAAATATTAAAAGGTTAAATAAAAGTGAAAATGGGTTGAAGCAATAAATAATATGTTATTGGTTATTGCTTTTGGTTAGTTGAACTTAGAATGGGTAAATTTAACAAATCTATTTAATTCAAATCAAACAAATTCAAACAAAGTTAATTCAATATAATTCAATCGCTTCACAGCTATTCCCGAAGTATAAGCAGGAATGTGAACATTGAAGATATATGTTCGATTGGACGATTACAAAAAGCGTGACTCCTATTCCACTGATGAGAAAAAATTTGCCATTATATGTGAAATCGGAGTGGCTCACTTATATTTCTATCGCTAAATAACTATCTGCCGTGATAACTTATCCTGGCAATTAGCGGTGTCAGTCTAGAAATACTAGAATAAGAAGACTATCGAAGCATAATATTAATTCTGTTTGGTATTCGTTTCAATGAACTATGCGACCGAAGAAATATCGGTTAAAATTGTTTGAAAAAAACGATCTAAATCTATTTAAATCTATTCGAAACTTTTCCATAATGGCTTTGAATAAAAAAGTTTTAAATCATAGAAATTAGTGGAGTCACAATAAAGAAAAAAACTATATTAAAGTGTATATATAAAAATCTTCTCAACCGACTAAAAAAATGAATGACTCTTTATTTACTAGCATATTACTATATAGCCGCCAAATGAAAGAAAATCGGATGCATTGGTTTCATAAATTAAAAGTTACCTGATAGGTTTATAACTGAGCGAGTGATGAGCTAATACAAAATAAATGCAGCAAACTAACCAAGAATAGCGACAGTGATTGCGGAACGCATCGTTCAGGTAAATCGTAAGAGGAAATACAATAAATTTATCAGCCATTATTTCAATAATCAAATACAAATAGTAATTCTTATCTATTTAAATTTTATCACTATTACAACGATAGCCTTCAATTTAAGACACTTTTTGAATTGATTTGCTTATCTTTAATTTAAATTTTAATATGATACCCAGATTGTCTCGTAATAGAACTGTGTCGTCAGTTGATTTTTTACTGGACTACACAAACATTTGAAATAAGTGTCGAGAATTGGATTCGTAAGTCATTGTAAGTAAGAAAAAAAAAATTATAGTTACTGCTAAGTATTGTCGAGCACAATCTGTAATTTGTCTTCATAAAACTAATGCAAGCTAAAGGGATGATTTGGAAAAAATATGATGTACAGTAACTGATATATTTTTTCGCTTTGGCCTCACTTGGACCCTTCGACTGATAGTGTCCTTATTTATACGTTATCCATGTATCCGTGCTAAGCTAACCACTACCATTCACATTTCATATCTTTATTTAGGAATTTATTGAAGGTCAATTACAGAAAGCTTTTAAAATTTAAATTGCCGTAGGAACAACATAAAATTTTCCTTATTTTCAGCAAACTTTCATAAAATTTTCTTTATAGAATCCATAACAGCAAATGAATTCTTCTTGCCTTTGTGAACACACAAAACTTATACACAAAACTTTACACAAAACTTTTGAAAAATTTAATTTTGAATAAGAGAATTGCCAAATTTCGCTTTTGTAAACCCATGTTAATAATTAAATTTTAAAATAAAGAAGTTATGAGTAAACTGTGGCCCAAAAATATTTGTCTCTTAAGTTTCACTTCGTGAAATTTTGCCTCAAATTGTACCAAATAAGCTACTGTGAATCTTTTCTGGTATTTTTTATAATTGCTTGACAGAATGCAGAATGTTTATTTATTATTTATTTTTTATGGTTATTTTGAGATGATCAAAAAATCTCAAAATTTTCTTTAGAGAACTCTGATCATTATATGTTACCTCAATGGGGGATTATATAAAACATTTAAACCATGTTCATAAAAATTATTTTGTTTTGTCATTTTATGAAAAATTATTTTATAGCCCTTTTTTATGTTGTCGCTAACTTTCCAGTATATTGAAATTTAAATGGCCGTTAGGACAGTATTGTTTATTATTGGAAAATAATTATTTGTTAGTTCGAACAATTGTTTAATTTTTTATTCTATGATGAAAAAACTGCATAAATTGACACGAAAGATATTTTATTCTAAGTTCAATTCAACGAATTCCACTGATCATATTTCCGCGACATTTTTTAATAATATGTCGTAAAATTTTCTTTATATCCATTTTTTCATTACAAATATTTTTAAAGATATGACCGAAATTCAAAGCATATGTGTTCTGAAATAATAGATTAATACAAGGATTTTCAAGGCTTTTCAGTTATAAATTTGTAAATTATACAATTATACAAATTATACAATTATACAATTGTAAATGAGAACTTACAGCACCGAAGTTGAAGCAGTACTCATGGAAAGCTTTCACAACAGTATCGTGACAATCGAAATCGATAATCGGGAAAGAATTTTTTTTCAGCAAACGGTCAGCACTACTTGAATCCAATGTCAATATGAAATCATTCATGAATTGATTCAGATACAAACGCTTCTAAACATAAATAATAAATATTTATATGGAAAGTGATTCTTTAAGTTCTGCGCAAAACGCATCCATGAATTTGATAAAATCGATGAAAAAAATTAAAAATATAACGGTTTAGAATACCAAAAAATTTCAAACTGTGAGCTATTATTCTATTAACTGTGAGCTATTATTCATTTTTTTTAGTAATTAAAGATTAAGTTAACTAAATAATCATTTTCTTAAACAGTTCTTACAAAACTTTCACTTTTTGCATTGTTAACAGTTGATCTTTTAAGGATTTTCTTGATTCCTTTAATCTAGATCTTTTGATTTGTCGTCGAATTTCATATAAAGGTAAGTCTCGAGTATCGATTGCAGAATCCAACGATTTTTCCTATAGATAATTTAAATTAGTATCATCTGCGATTTACCAATCATTGCGAATGAACTAGAAGTCCGAGTAATTTATTAATCTATCGAAAAGAGCAATCGGGAAGGCAATCTTATTAAGTTTTTTAAATTTGTCTAATATATGAAAGATAATCAACGAGGCAATCAATTCCCTCGTCACTAAATTGATTCATGCGACCTGTTATCTATAATTGAGCTTTTTTGATATGCTTCATGCTAATTTTCATTAAATATTTTGGTGGCTAACTTATCAATTTACCCACATTTGATATAAAAATTGAATGATGATGAAGGTAGAGCAGAAAGATACTGTGGGATAAAAGTATAATATGCCGATAAGTAAAGAAAGATAAAGGAGGTAATGATCAACAGTTTCTTAAATAAAGTTCTTTAACGAAGAAATTATTTAAGGTTTCCTACTGTACTATGAAAAACTGAACGATTCTAACTTTTTTTTTCCTTAGTTGATGTGGATTCATCCATCCTTGATATTCCCCTACCGGTTCTTGAGAAATTTTTTGGTCTCCATAATGCATTACATGGCTTAAATTTGTTTCCTTTTTTACTATTTTAAATTGTTGATATAGCGACTCCGTATTGATATTTTCCTGCAAAAATTAGAATATTTTTTATTCGAAAACCAGAAAACCATTAGACTAAATACAATGAATGAATGATGAATGAGTTAGAAATATAAATGATTCCACATTGACAGCAAATAATTTTTCATTTTTATTTAAATATTAGCTTATTTTAAGTGAATTTAGAGAGAAAAAATTTACGGTCTCAGTATCTTCCATCCACATAACGGAAAAAAGATCGCCTAAACATGGCAAATCCATATTATTGTCGCAATAATAAGCATATGAACTTTCACTCGCATTTGCAGCTGTTACGACATATACTGAAATTTTTGATAAATTACGAGAAAATATTTAACTAGCAAGACTAACCGGAAAACGATTTTAAACATTCGCTTCATCGTAAAATAAGCTGAATGACACCATTTTTCAAAAAATTGTCAAATGAATTATATGATTTCAAAAAAATGAATATTACGACGAAGATAGATTTAAAGGGTGATTTTACCATTCGTATCATTTTGTAGTATATTTTCGAACATTGATCCACTTTCACAAGCCTCCATATAAAAAACGAGATTGCGATACATTTGGTTATCAAACATTTCCTTTAGAGCATTATTCAAATCTTTAGCAGTAATCTGAAACGTTCAGAAAGATAACTGCTCTCATCGAATTTGGTGCGAATTTTCTTTGATAGAAATATAAGAAAATTGACAAAAAAATTGCTAAAACTTCACTACAATTTTCATCGAATTCCTTCCCACCAATCTATTAAATCAAGTCAAATCTTAATAAGGTTCAGTGCGTCATTGATAGACTGGATGTCGTTAATTAAATAGGTGTCTGCTCTCGGCATAGAAGGATAATAATCGTCATAAACAAAAACAGTTCGAATTTTGGAATGAAATGTGGTATAACCCAAATTTTAATATCAGTTGCCTTATACAAAGAAACTTACAACGCCATGAGGAAATGCAATTAATCCTGTGGATCCATGATCTACGAAATTAATGAAAACATTTTCAGTCGCATTGCTTTCTAAAACACGACCATTTCCACCACTCACAGCACTTTTATTGCCTGTTATGATAGCCAGAAAATTCGCTGGATTCACATCTTTACCTTTATAATCAATAGGCACACCAGCATAGACATCAGGTCCATTTGGTTCATTAAAAATCTTGCCTGGATATGGATTACTGAAATCATTCCATTATATCAAAAAATCCCTATATATCGCGTCATTTTTCAAGTGTTGGAATAAGGCTTTTCGCAAAAAAAATTTAATATTTATATATCTTTAGAGGAAACCGGTAAACTGGCAAAGGACAATGTCATCTATGCCAGCTTTAAAGGTGATTTCTGCAATAAGTTGGTCAATAGTGTTTATGCTCCGAATTTGTCTGTAGGTGACCATAATAAAGATAAATTCTATGCGAAACTTCAACTGCTAACAAAGTGCCTATCGAAATATGTCACAGACATAATCCGGACAGACTGGAATGCATGGGTAAGTCATGATGAAGCTGCGATGACCTTAATAATTGACAAATATGGCATCGGAGTCCAGTGCGCCAATGGGGAATGTCTTCTTCGCTTTGCCACTTTTTGCTACTAATACATGCTTCCCATTTCGTAGAAAACATCTAATCACATGGAACTTCCCGGATAAATAACTAACACTCCAACTAGATTGGTTATATCTTAATCATTCGTTGTTGGAAGAGTTCCGTATTAGGATAGTCGTTCCTATCGCTGCGCTGGAACTGGTAAGCATCATGAATCGATATTATTGTTTGAATCAAGATTCGCAAAAAACTGACAACTCACAAGAAACGGCGCCCATGCTCTTTCAACTATCTCAAAAGATTCGAGGAAAACAGTGGCATAAATATCAATGACTTTTCTGGAACGGCAAATACAATTCCTAACTAAAGGAATGTCTCTGAAAGTTAGCCACTTCTACGACCACTACATATTAGTAGGAAGTGCGCTGGGAACAACTGTTCAACTATCTGATGCTGCTAAAACATGAATGTCACGAGATCTTGACTACTTAGTACTTCGAAGAATTGCAATGACAGTAGCGCGACGGAAGAAATTGCTATTGGAGCAACATGCTTTGAGAATGGACACGACAACTCGATTAGGCGATAATAATAAAGCAAATATAACTCGGGAAACGGTCAGTGAAACGATAAAGGATGGCAGTGGTGTGCTGCGCCTGTTAAGAGGATCGCCTCATAAGGTGGAAGGCATTTTTTGAGACATTTAATCACGACGCGCCATTTACTATCCATAGTTGATTTGTTCGTCGAACCATAGGTTTGTAATTACCAGCCGCCAATAGAAGAGGAAATAATCTCCATTATCCATAAGCTTAAGCCAATAAGACTGTGGGAAAGATGGACTCTGGCCAGGACTCTTCAAATGTTTTCCATCGTCTTTCATAACGTACCTTCAACAATTGTACTCTCAAATGGTATGGAAATAATACCAGATGACTGGACCAAAGCAATTCTACCCCCAGTTCCTAAGAAAGGTGATAGGACATGCTATGACAATTATCGAGGAGTCAGCCTATTAGATATCTCTGAAAAAATTTTCGCTTCCCTTCTACTAAATAGACTTACGATAGTACGAGATAGAAAGATGCGCCTCAATTAAGCTGGATTCAGACCAAGAAGTGATTGTACTGGCCAGAAATTCACATGAAGAGGAAAGATTGGAATATCGCTTCAAATATTTGCAATCTGCCACCACTTATTTATGTATATGAGGAAAATAAGAACTGGTGTCAGTCAAAGTCCTTTTTCCTATAATATTTAACTATGCGATCGACTGGACAATGGATACCGCTTGTCAACGCTCAAGAGGAGTATAAATCAGTCCAGAAAACGCTGACTATGTATTCGTTTTGCTAAAGAAATGCAAATTATGCTAAACAACGTGTCAGCAACTGTAGCGAGAATCGGACTCAGGGTCAATATAAATAAATAAAAGGAAAGCCTTTTCGTTTTATGCATAAGAAGCTGATAAAATACCTGTTTTTATCAATTCACTACCGCTTGAGGAAATGCCCGATTTTAAATACTTTGGATTTAGTCTAATCCCAAAAGGCTATGCGAAAAACGAAATTACAACCCAGATAACGGTAACTAGAAATTTGTTCTTCCGGTCGATGAAATCTTTATGCAGCTGTTGTGAAATCACCGTGAAAACGAAAGTTTGCATCTACATAGCTGCAAGACATGGCCAATGAAAGTGGAGGATTGGCCAAGAAGTTATCTGCCTTTGAACAATTATGTCTATAATACATTTTATGGGTTAGGTGAGTGGATAAAACCCCGCATGATCGCATCCAGCTTACCACTTGTTAGAAGTGCCATCACAGAGCGTTGATTAGGACACGTTCTCCGTCATCCACGACAAATACATATTTCTTTACTTGTTGAACTCTAGCATTAAAGCAATGTTGGCGAATCAAGGCTTGGACTGACACGATCAGGAAAGATTTTGAATGTATAGATGGACCAGCAATATATAGATTTAGGCGATGGAAAAAGGAATGGCTTTTGTTATTGGTGGCATCGGATCAAACAACTTGGACCCTTGTAGCCAGCTGAGCCAGTCTAACCAGTAATGATGAGAACTGTTAAAAGAACATTTGGAGATTAATAGAGGTTAATATTATTGTATTTAGAGATGATCAGAAGAAAATGAAAAAAGTATAGCAATCGTACAATTTACGTGGACATGAATTTAAAAAAGAATGGAAGAAATAAAAATTTTTTACTTCGTGTTATTTGCTATATCATCAAACATCATTGTTATGATGTTCTCAGGTCTGACTCCATGGTCTTTTAATAAATGATAAGCCCTACACAAATCGGCCTAAAAGCTAATTAAATTCTTCAAATTTATAAATTAAATAATCATTAAATTCAATATTTGCGAAATTTCTCTCTCATTTCATCAAACAGATGATATAATTTTTATTAGTCTTTGATTAGCCCACCTAAAGAGAAAAAATAGAATACAAATATTTTTGGAAACAAAAGATTTTCTAAAGCTAAATTTTAAATTTCCATTAATCAAAAATCTAATAATAGAAAGATTCACCTGATGGCGATAGTTATCCCATTCATTAGAGCCAGCGACTAAAATTGCCCAAATAGGTAAATGATTGTCTGTTGCTTCTGTTACCTGCTTTAAGATTCTAAAAGCAAATGATAAATTTCCAGCATATATATAAAACCGTTATGAAGCTAAAATATGCTATGTACCTATATTAAATTTCATTTGTATTGCTTATGTTTTTCTCATTTCCAGGACTAAGGCGCGGAAAATAATCGTGAAGGAGATTTGTAGATTACAATGAATGAAGATTGAAATAAATTTGCTTTTTATTTATCATTTTAATAAAACAAATCGAATTTAGTGAGGAATCGATTAAATTAAGCGATATCACCATACTGGAAAGCCGTAAAATGATTAGGAAATCATTAAATGCTATGGATTAAAAAAATACGAAGAAAATTTGCGATCAAACAAATAAGCCAAAAAATGAATAAAATATTTGAATATTACAATAATATTTAAAGTCTAAGAAGATTAGACTAAAATTATTGTTTAAAAAAAAAATTTACGAAAAAAATTACTCGACAGATTCATAGTCAACTGAATTATTGTCGTCAGTAAACACTGAATAAACTTTGAGAGCGAAGAACAGAAACAGCTGTATATAACGATGGTACATTATTCAAAGAATGAAAACTAAGTGGGCATAAGTCGATAATAAATTTATTCGTTGCCTTTGATACACGTCTAACATTTATCACTTATTCACAATTCATTTCTTTTATTAATTGATAAAATAATGACTGATAATTGACTGATAACAATTTCGTCGAATGGTTTGTAAACAGTTAAAAAATCGCCTTAAAATCTTTCTTTATCTTAGCCAAATAACAATAACTGCACTAATGGCTCGCATAGCGGTAACAATCGATTATTTTATAAAAATCATGCCTCATTATATCTCATATTTTGTGGCAAATGGGTCAAAAGCTAGACGATCCAACCAGAATTTAGGTTAATGCTGCAAGGAGAGATAGGCGGTAAAAAAAGAATAATTTAGTTTAATTTAATTTAGTTTACTCCGAACTTTTAATCTAGCCAGCCAAACCAACAACTGTGCGTCCTGTTAGAAAAAAGAAGAGATCACAAAATATCTTCTAAGTCATATTTTGTCGAAGAAAATGCAACGAACTCATATTAAGTCATATTTTGTCGAAGAAAATGCAACGAATTCATATTTAATTTAAAAAATCTCTTTCTCACCCTCTGTGGGTGGTAAAGATCTTTCTCAACCTCAGATCCTCTACCAGAGGCCTGGGAGATTAAGGGTTTTGCAATATCTTAGTTGTTCTTAATAATGGGATCTGCTGAAGCTACTTTTTTAGTTTAGGGGATCACAGTTCCAAGTACTCCAATTATCACTGGAATTACTTTTGCTTTCGCTTTCCATTTCTTATCTAATTCATCTTTCCACTCCTGATATTTCTTTAATTTTCTATATCCCTTCTTCCTATTACTTGTTCCTATTCCTTGGTATTGTTATATCAATGATTTCTGATTCTTGTCTACTGGTAAATAATTGTTTGTTTATCTGGATGGAGAAGTCCTAGAGGGCCTTCGACTTATTATTCTCCAAGATTTCTTGAGGGAAGATTTCCCATCTGATCTTAGGAGCCATATACTGAGCAGATATTCCGATAGGCAATGCTAGCTACTTCGTTATGCCTTTCAGTGTATTCATCGTGTATCATATTTCCTATATTCTAAACATTTTTGAACAGCCTGTACTTTAATTCATGTTTGATGTGTCAGATTTCTGCTTCGTTGGATCTGTTGCTAAGTACCTCTTCTCCCACTGCTTTTAGTCTTACTTTCCACAGCCACTGGTAACCATCTCAGCTATTTGCCCCTATCGATCCCAATAGAGGAAACTGTTTTGCAACGGCCCTTCCTGTGCTTGGTCTTCCTTCAATATCTATTTATGCTTCAGGCATTTTCTCAGCATTCTTTGGTTCCATCGTGCTCATTTGCTCATTCTTGAATTTCATTCAGCTCGGATTTCATTCAAGATAATGGCTCTGACATTGTCCCACAAGTTCCATGAATCTTCTTGCTGGTATACAGTGATGAGGTGCTAAATTTAGGGTGAATTTCCATGCATTGTGAGGAGTTTTCAACGTCGGAATACATATTTTCCTTTGACAATCTCATTATGCCAGCTGCGTATCTAATGACTGGCAGAGGGAAGTTTGACGTGAATCTCGTTTATCCCATTGAAATTTAGGACCTTCAGATCTGTTTTATTCTTCACATTTATATATAAACATAATGTGTTCATTTATCTTTGTTCTAAATTTAATAGACATCTCAAGAATACCTCAAGTTCCATGATATTCTCTAAACTTTTTATAATCTTAGTAGAACTGACATGGGTTACTATTATTGAGGGGATTAATAGATTTTAACCATTATAGCAAAAACATTTTCAAATGGTTAAATATCTTTTTGCAAAAAACGTGCCGAAAACTTGTTGTGATGTTCACAAAAAGTTGCGTCAAAAAATATAATAAAATAGCTATAAAAACCAAATTTCACCCGATTTCGCAGATTTGGCTATCCTCATATCACTGAGCAACGACCTGAACAAAGTGATAAATTAAGTAGAGGCACGTTATAAACCATTTTAACCATTTTTATAAATTCATTTCAGGTTTTTGCTAACCAAATTCTACTCCGTTTTACCATTCACTTAGATTTAACTTGTCGATGAAGTCTTGAAACAGATCATAGTCGATAAGATTTCGAATTTGAATTTTATTTCGCACTTCTAGCTCTTTCAAATAAAATTTGAACAATAACTACGAAGATTTTCGAAAATTTAAAAAGTTTCAACACTTCAAGATTGGCGAGCTACAAAAATAAATTCGTCATTCAGTGATCTGTTAAATAGAATGCTTTTTCTCCTTTGAACATATTTCATTGCGGTTTAAATTGTTTAAAAGTCAATTCAGATTACATTATTTTATTTTCAATAAATAGCGATAATTTAAGTCATTTGAATGAATCCTTAAAATTCTTCAATCGCATATATGCCGGGCGATGGGGTAATAATTTCAGAATAATCAGCGTTTTAGAAATAAACTTGTGCCAACCACTCGCCACATTTTGTATCATAAAATAACACTGGCAGTGGGCGCAAAGTAAGAATCAACAGTAGGGACGTAAAAATAATTGGAATTTGGTAGGAGCTTATAGTTAATATTAAAAACATTCATTCGGGTCTCTGAAAAGAAAATTTTTTTGGTTGATTGTTTCTGGTTGACCTCTCACAGCATGGCACTTGCAGGTGACCTATTCCTTCTTTATTTTCATGTTTATGCCATTCATTACGCTTTTAAATTGCATTTATAGGTTGACTACCATGTTTCCACCTATTATTAACTTCTATTAACTTCTATAGAAATAGAATAGATTTATAATTCACAAAAAGCATTTAGTTGAGAAAATAACATTTAAAATGTATTAAATATATTTAAAATTATATTGTACTAATGCCAGCTGAAAGAAATAAATTAGAAAATGAATTTCTGCTGGTCATTCTTTCTGCGACTACTTAACGCTGAATAAGAATAATTAAAGTCCTTGATCCAATTATTCGACTAGAAGCAGGCATCAGTAACATTTTTAACCCAAAACACATTGTGTGAACGAATCGCACAGATAAATGGATGAATAAATGGATTTTTCTTCCATAAGTTTTCGTGCTCGTTTCGAGTGAGTTTAAAATTTCTACATTAATGTTCTTCATTAGTTTACTAAATTCAGTCACTATTCAGGAGAAATTGTGAGAAAAAAGAGATCATATGAAATAGATGTTAGATTTACGATGAGCTTACAATGCAACCTTTTTCATATCGATGAATTTAATCTCCATACTTTTTTGATTCGATTGTTTCGTATTTCAATTGGCACCATTCTGTGAGATTTGTTTCAAAGAAAATTCGAAAAACGAAAATTGCGCCAAATAAGAAATAAATATCGGAAAAATGGTAAGATTTATTAATGTACATGATATAAGAACGAAATAACTGAGATATATAGATTAACTAATATAGCCGTAAGACGAGTAAATATTAATTCATATCAATATTTAACCAGACTGTACCAGACGTTTCAATCAATTACATAATGAATAACCAAATAAAATGAAAAACGAATAAATAGGAAATAATTTCGAGATAATTTTCGCTTTATTAAAAATTACGATTATTATATACAAATTGGTCGTCCATAAAAATCGGTGAAAAGGGCACAAAACAAATAATAGGAATGGCATTGAAATATTTTTCCGGCCAATTCAATATGCATGATACTAAAACGAAATAATATATAAACTAACACTTTTCACATATGGCCAAGTAAGAAGTAGTTTTTAAGACCACTATTTTCAAGCAGTTTTCATATTTACATAATTAACGCATAAGACACATATGTAACAATATTTTTTATCGTATTCCGGAGTATTTACCTATTTTCATAAATAGACTCTGTTTTTCACATTAAAAATGGCAGTGATTGAGAGAAAAATATTTTGAAAAAACAGAAGTCCGTTAAAAAGTCGTTCAGAAAGTCCATTACTGCAACTAAAATCTCGATAATAAATTTAATAATACAGCAATAAAATCTCCAGCCAATGGATTAAAAGGATCTCAATAAGCCTATTAAATGGGAATAAAATGGATCAGCGAGGTGTTGCCTTCGTCTCCGAGCTCTGATACTGGGTTCTATGCCAGATATAATAAGTCTGTCTTTCAAAGATTCGTATGGTGATGGCGACTCATCCGACTTCTAGCGTCATGTGACTCACTGGCCAAATTTATCTGGTCCGACAAGCCAATAGTGTGAGTGAACCTAATTAAGAAAAAAATCTGTTAAAATATTAATAGACTGCTTAAATGCAAAATTAACGAATGGTTAAATGAGAAGAAAGAACTGTTTACGAAAAAAATTGTCCACGAAAAAAATAACTAGTATTTTAAGTTTATAGGGAAATTTATTTTTTTCCAAATTTCTTCACCTATGCAAATGGATAGTGAAAATATAAGGAAAAAAAAGAAAAAAGATGGTATATAACCATTAAAAATTAATATAAAATATCAGTTAAAATATTAATTTTTTGCGCCATTAAATTCGAATTTTAATCAAAGAATTCGCAGAAAATTTTAGTGACAAGAGAAATGCAACGTGATATTTCGTAAATGCTAAAAAACAAGAGATCTAATTAGGGTTGTATTTTTCTGGAACAGCTGAAATGGCATAATTCTGACAATGCCTTAAAGCCTTATTATACATATGTGGCGCGATACAGTCACTTCTCGCATATATTATATCAGTTGGTTCGTATTTATGAATCGAATTTGAGCTTTTCAAGCAGCACAGTGTACGCTTCCAACTCTGGAAAATGGTTTTTCGTCAATACTGATAGTTAGGGATCCTCGAACAATGTCTTCTAAATTTCTTTGCCCATTAACGCATTATAAAGGTTCCAATTTTCTCGAAAATCTTGGTGATATTTCTTTTAATTTTTATAAATTTGTAAGCTTGGCGTTTTCTTTAGCAAGGAAAATAATTTATATTTAATCCTTTGAAAAAAATATCTCTTATTGGCAAAGAATAATCATATAAACTTCTATTTTCGTTATCTAAACATAACTCCTTTCTAAATATATTTTTAGAAGCCTTATTCATCAATAAAAGTTGCAAATGGTTTGATGCGAGTAAATCAATAAACGATCACCTTTAAAAAAGTTCGATCAGAAACACCTATTCTAGCACAACACCGAAAACACAATGAAGGAGATAAGCAATATAACGCAATAGTTACTGTTAGATCATCGGAGATAGAAATGGTTAAAAAATGACAAATAGGGCATTTAACCCAACTGTTCATAAAATTGTTCATAAATTTCACCTAGCTTCTTTTTGGAAAAATGGGTAAAGCAGATAGTAACTACAATAATTCACCTGAAGAGTTTTCTTCGAAATGATCCATACGCCTGATGTCCAGCCAATAACCAACATTGAAGCGCTTTTTATTAATGTTAGAAAAATGAATGTCTCTGCTGAAATATTTATTTTATTAACGCTAATGATTGGCAGTTGACACAGATGGTAAAAATAAATATAGGCTTTGAAAGAAAAAATTCAAGTACTACTCCTCGTTGCCATATGCTTTTCATGTTCACTGTTATTAATAAACTCCTTATCCTTTTATAAGATTATTGCTATTAAAAATCTCTATTTCTCTATCCTCCATTTCTCTATGGCTTTTTTGATATAGAAACTCTTGAATAATATCATCTCAAGACGAAAATGGAATAAAATAAATGACTAATATTTATTGCTTGTTTAAAATTTATTGGCCCGAAATCCATAACTATTTCAAGTAAGACTTTGGTACTTAAACTCTTTTTGGCTATTTTTTGCAGTTTTGCAGATTTTTCTCTAAGGTTTGTTATTTTACAAATAATATCTTACATCCCTAGAAGATAAAGAAAAGCTTGAAGATAAAAACCTATATTAAAGCATTATGAATGGACATATATAATAAATATATTTGATTTGCATATAACATAATAATGATTATAATTACGATAACAGTAATTAATTTTGTAATCTTCATTCAACCGGCAGATGGAAGCCACCTTAAAGATAACAAAAAGATATTGTTCCCGTTACCCCGTTAATGTTGGTATTGTCGAGACAATACGATAAAAACTGTTCAGAAATCAGAATCGCTTTAAAAGTTTGATTAGATTTTTAAATTTCCTTTCTAAATATTCACGAGAATCTTCTATGACAGTAAAACAGTACTGTGGACAACGAAAAGGATTTAAATTTAATAGTTTCTGAGATTACCAAATTTAACAGTTCTATTAAGGTTATGTAAAAATAGAGAATATTCTTTTAGTTGAAATTTAGGAACAGGTGCTTACGCTGCTGATCAAACTGATTTGAATTGCAATTGCACAACTGCGATCGCTCCCACTGTGGACGATACTGTTGCTCATAGATTAGAATCATAAGAACAAATACAGCTGGTACAATATAAAGCACAGAGAATATCCCAATCTTCGACATTAACTGGGTCATTTTTGAAGTGTTATTGCCTCCAGGATGGTGCTTTTGCATTAATGAACGAATTCTCCACAAATTGAAAAAGCCGATACAAAGAAAACATACTCCGGCAACGAAATAAATAAGTAACGGTACTGAAAATTAATTCTTTAATAGATATATATACTAATTAACTGTGAAATGCAAAAAATTTTTGGGGGATCTTGCGTCTTAATGGCTGATAAACACATTGTGTATTCATTAATTATATAGTCCTCATCAGTGAAAGGTTTATTCATTACTTATATTGTCCTGAAGCAATATTCATTACTTATATAATCCTCATTAATGAAAAAAAAAGCACATCAGAACCTACAGAAAACGAAGATCCTCAAATGGTCAATATTGGTGTTCCCAACATAACATATTCCGCTCATTGAATCCCCATCAACAGCACCAAATACTATTACTGCAACAGTCTGAATGGCTGGAAGAATCCATGCAGCAAAATGGAAATAATTGGCACAACTTGCGATTGCTTCGCTAGACCATTTATTTGCAGCCGCAAGCACCCATGTTAATGATAATATTACCCACCAGACAGATCCTGCCATTCCAAAGAAATATATCAACAAGAATACCTAAAGTTTTATATTTCTTAGCTGGAAAAAATCCTTATATTCTACTAATGAGATTTTGGCAATTACAGAATTAAGAGCCTCATGAACGAAAAAATGAAAAAATAAACAGGTATAGAAATAAAACAGGTCTGATACTATCTCAGCAATATCGCCATAAAGCATCGACCACATAAGGTCATAATGTTTGGCCCACCGCTGAAATTGACATATATCTCGCTACTTACCAAGCCCTGTGACGGATGGCGACAGCCAAGCTATGGATGAAAAAGATCTGGATCAGATCAAACATGTATGTACGATTATTTTTAAATGTTAACTTACTAGTTGACATGAATTGATCTGTTGGTCACTATGTCGTACCATACGCGAATCGCATGCAACATATTCATGGCCATAAACCACACGTATCATAAATCCTAATGAGACCATCATTTGGCAAAATGCTAGTAAAAAAATTGGCCGCTCTGGATATTGAAAACGATCGGTTTCGATAAGAAATGTCAGTACTGTGAATGCGGAAAGAAGGAAACATGTGCCCGACCTAAAAAATTGCATTGGAATATCCCAAATTGCAGTGAAATTCACCATATTAAAGAACAGTTTTAATGAAAACTGAATTAGTTTGCCAAAACATCTCTCTACATATATATAGATATATATAGATTTATATACAGATATTTATTATCTTCATTCTTGCAAGGCAACGAGAGCATTGACAAGTTAATGAAGTTAAAGCGCAAGCAAAATCAACCAACCAAATAGCAATCCATGCTGAAAGAAAATGACGATCGCTAGTTCCATGTATTGGACTATGACATGGATAAGAGCATCCAGAAACATTTGCAACATATGACCGCGAATCTGCAATTTGAAGGAATGGCCGTATACATCGGCATTTGCAATGCTCTTTTGTATCAATGCCAATGACTGGAGTAGAATCGCGGTGGTTTGGGTGTGGTAGCAAGTCTAGCTGAAAAAGAGAAACGAATATCAAAAAATGTTCAACAGAAATCAAATAAAAAACATTTACAACATATCAATTCATAATTTCACCTAGTGATGGATTTTCAATTGAGTACCACAAAAATCTGATTCAATGATGGGGTAAAAATATTCAAAGCGTTGCTATCTTGACGGGATTACTATGTTAATGGACAAAATTTATTCTCAAAATAAACGCAATCATGATTTATTAAATTTTGCGAGCGTGATTTATTAATATAAATGTTCCTCAATGATTTCCACAAAATTTTGCCAAAATTATTCAATATTTTTCGCAGTTATCGCATTAAACCAATATGATTAGTTCACTTCCGTTTACATTCCCATGAAAAAATTTGCAAAAACCTATTGCAAATAATAATACTATGCAACTGATCGTGTTAAAATGTACAGTCTTTAAAATTTTTTTAAATATCTTTATGTTTCATATTTTTCGCAAATTTGCAATGAACCGAATAAAACCAAACAAAGAGCAAAAGGCACATTTAAAAAAAAAAATCCTTTTCTCAGCTCCTGTGGATGGGCTATCCTCAGCTTCTGTGCTAGAGGCACAGTATTTTAGTATTTTAGTTGTTCCAGGCAATGTGCTTTCCCAAACAGAGATACTTGATGTTTCTGGAATGTTTTGAAGCCACTTTTCTAGTTTAAAAGTCCTATTATCATTAGGAATACTTTTACTTTCACCTTCCACATCTTGTCTAGCTTCCCATATTCTTTCTTCCTGATATTTCTGTTGCTTGGTATGGCTATATCTATCACCAGTGATGATTTCTAGTCCTTGTCTACTAGCACGATATCTAGTTAACTGGCCAGTACTTGCTTATCTATCTGCATGAACATATATATATAAGCTCAGTAATATCACTAATGATATATGGTGATATTAAAATAATTATTGTTTTTATGATTAACAACTCGTAAATGAATAAATGAACAAAATAAACAAAATGCACCACCATTCAGAAACCATGGAATAACGCGTATATCTTAAGAATTCAGCCTCAAGTTTAAAATTTTTCTTTGTATATTGCTTTTATTCGCTATTCAAGCGAATTTTCTTTCATGATTTATAAATTAGTGGCAGTAATGCAAATAAGAGATCTAGAAATCCAGAAAGAGAAATAATAAATAATTATGAGAATCCCGAAATCGATATTCGTTTATGAAATGAAATTCATGTGAAATTATAACGAAAAAATTAATTAAGATTTGAGCAAAAAAAGCTAGCTAAAAGACTCCTCTGCATTAAGATGCGCGAAAATTAACACAGAAAAGCCATTCATGCCTTAAGGGAATATTCTTCGATGAAAGATTTCTTTAATAATCAATCACAAAAAAATTAGGATAGCAGAAAAAAGTATTAAATCTAATATCGATCTTTGCGAAGAAATTTGGATTCAAAAATTTTATGGGTTAAAATCTGCAAAAAAAGAAGAAATAAAACGATGAAAAAAATTTCTCCATACTTTGACTTTTTTAGAATGAAAAGATTTATCTTGAAAATTTTTTTTTTGTGCTTTAAACTCTCTATTTGCATTCTCAATTATGAAATAAGTCATCAGAACCTTGAAATAAGAATTAACCCAATGTATTCTCTGTTTATGAAATCGAGATGAAAAGACGAAAAAAAAGTGTACAAATGGCAAAGAAGGATTTGCAATGAAATCCGATACTGACCAAATCGTCGAAAACGGCTGGATCTGGCGTATCAGGTGGAGCAGCACAAATATTACCAGTGATTTGTTGTTCACTCATACGCGGCAATTGCTCACAGTTAAGAGCCAAGGGCCATTTGAAACCATACTGATGCATTAAAGGACTGCATCGTTTTTTTGCCTCAAGGCAAACCTAAATAAATAATCGTTCACTGGTAAATCTATAAAACCACAATGTAATAATGGCAAAAGGGACAAAATACCAAATCAACAGAAGAAAAAGAATTATTGAAATACCTAATATTTTTATAGCAGATAAAAACAGACCTCCATACAAGGCATGACCATTTTCTCATAGTTATGTTGGCATATAGGAGTATACATGGCACAAAGAAAAAATTTTAAATGCTTGTAGCATCCAACCTGAAAGGAGATTTCTATCAGTGGAATTCCTGTTCTTTTATTCAGTCATGACTGTAAAGATTTGCAGGCAAAAGGTGGATGAACATAAAATGCTATAACCTAGGAAAATAGAAAAATAATAATACCCCTAATGAACGTTAGAAAACAACACAGGAAAAAAAATTGAATAATTGAAATATAAAGTAAACAGCAAATAAACAAATAAAATTTAAGCAAAACTGGTTTCTTGGCAAAAAGAAAGACATTTTGTTACCAATATTAGCCGACATTTTATTTTAAAACAGCATGCAAATTTACCAACAACTTTCGAAATTTATGAAAATATGAACTGGCAGTTTTATTTGTGATGTATGGAAGAAGCAAATTTATTTCAAAAAATATTTTAAAAGAATAGAATTTTAAAAGGATAAAATTTAAAATATTGTGGAGTAATATTGTGGCTAAAACTGCAAAAATCTACTTCCACAAGTGGATAAAACTGATGGACTTCCAGTCCAGCTTCTTCTTGTTTTTCATGTCCATAGCTATTTGGATATCTCGTCATATTATAACCAATTCCTAAAATTTGCCAACTACTGCATGGGTTGAGAAAAAGATTTTTTTCTGAACTCCATTAAATTAAATTGATTCAATTTCAATTGTCAGAATATGCGAAAGAATGAAGACAAACAAACGAAAACTAATTTCAAAATGAGGAAATTAAATAAAGTTACCTTTACAAAGAGGTATTGTGATTTGCTCGCAATTTTGAAAACCATTTGATGAAGGAATTAACGTTAGGAAGATAAAAAACCAAAGGTCCATTTCGAAATTTTAGACGATAATGTTATGTTAGTGACAATATGACCAATACACGAGCACCAAAGGACGAAAAAAAAATGTCGCCTCGTCTAGAAAACTATACTTGTACTTGTACAATGTGGCAGTAAAATATTTCCAGATGCAGAATATGCATCTAAAATTTTGAAGAAGCGATTAGGAATCGTTTGTCAGAACGAGCGAATCTTGCTTTAAAGTTATATATGAAGCCCTCTAATAGAAATGGTTGATGTTAATCCGAATTTTGAAAAGAAATTCGAACAAAACTCGTTGTTCGGAAAAGATTAAGACGATCTGTTCTTTCTCTGAAAGAAAAAATTCTTAAATTACAAGAAAAAGTCATTTGATCATCGACGAAGGGATTTAGTTACAAGTCAATGCTCCATCTCTGCACAAATTTAATAAAAAATTGCAAAATGAGATAATTTAACAGTGACAACAATTTGCTACAATGGCAAATCCTTTACTCAAAAAAAATCTATATCGTTTCAAACCTTTTGGCCACAGCAAATGGTTTAAATAATATCTACAAGATCTATAAGATTCGTGCAGAATTTAACAATATTATATCAATAAATTATCACAAGAAAAATGAAAAATTATTTAAATTTTAAGAAACAAAATCCACTATAGTATCAATCCATAGCTGATTGTTAACTGCAATACTTTCTTGACATTCGACTGCATTCAACTTGCTCAAGAAAAATTGTTTGAATTACAATTCAAATAATTCATTATAATATGAAAAAAATTCAAACATTTGCTCTCCTGAAATCTCTTATGTAAGGCAAATTTAAATTTATTCATTATTAATTTCACCTCAGTACTTGAATTTTAAAACCAATTTCTTTGTTTTGTTAATGTATATTATTTTGAGAACGATTGATGATTATCATTTTTTAACTTACCATTCTTAACCTTTTAACAATTCATCATTCCGACTTTTTTCTGATCTATCAATTAAAGCATTTCAATATTGGCAAGAAAATCATAAAAATCAAATGGAACTCTATGGAATAAATGATTAATTAATGGAATTAAGATTTCAAAATTTATAAGTAAAGATTTATTTTTCATAAATTGATATATATTACGGTAGAATTCCACAGTTATGATGACCCAGCAAAAATGGCAACGAAGCAGAAAAATTGGAATGCTATAATTGCTGTGGTAAATTGTACAACAATCATAATCAAATTCTTTGACCATTTCTTAATGGCAAAGGTCAAATCGAATTTTTTTCACCCGTCAATTTTCATTTCCGGATCCTTTTTCTTGACCTACTGAATGGTAATGTTTTTTCAAAAGAAAGTCCTTAGATCTCCACTCCAAATTTTCCAGAAAAAAACGAGAGTTAGTGAAATTGTTCATTTCAGATGAATATTGATATAAGGAAATAAGAAAGATAAAACATCCGAGCATGGAAAGAAATAAAATTTTGTTTGGTCTATTAAAACTATCCGTTGCAATACACAATAAACCTACCATTTAGGAAAACGATTTATTTAAAAAGTGTGAATATAATAATTTAAAGAAAGCGGGAGAGAGAAAAAATGAGAAACGAACAAGTGTAGAAATAACAGTTAGTCCTTGCCCAGCACTTAAGCACTTGCTGAATCCCAGTGTAAACATTAAATGTATATACTACATTCGATATATCTTATTTATCTTTATTACATATATGTCGAATAATAACTTACTTCCTCAGTAATTAATCACAAAATATAAAATGTCACCAATGATTTTAGAAAAAAGCTACGTGAAAGATGAAACTTCATTTCTGATAATGCAACTATTATTTATAATGGTTATCTCTGCAGATAATAATACGTTTTGGCACAATATTACTGCAATTTCCTAGATTTAAATAATATGATAAAATGGAACATTGATATATCGAACATTATCTTGTTGAAACAGAAAAAAAATAAAAGCAACTTGAACTGATAATAGCCTTGCGTTATCAAGAAATTTGCCTCAAATTATTATTCATGATTTATCAGTGAATCCTCTCTCACGAAGAACGGATAAGCAGGAGAGAGAAAAAATGAAAGACGAACAAGTGCAGAAATATCCTTCTCCATAAAAAGAATAAAACCCTCATATTTACAATCTTCTCATTCGAAGCTGGTCACAAATTTTTTAGAAAAAAAATTAATAAACTGGTAGGCATTCATTTGTACTTCAGTCATCTATCATAATCATAATCATTAAAAATCATTAAAAACATCGAAAATTCGTTAAATATTGAATCTTGAAGGTAAAATCACATTGAGGGCTGACTGCATGCTGAGTCAAACGATGGCAGAAGAATTATTTAGGTCATATTCTGTGTTAAGAAACAAAAAAATTCAGCTTTATTTGCAATACATCTCACGTCGGCACTAAATAAATTGTATTTCGCCTCATAACACACGTTAAAATAATCTAATAATGTAATTATAAAAATATGAAAATAAAAATAAAATTTTTGGCGAAGAAAATTAACCATCGAAGGTAAAACATGACAATGAACTTGGATGTGTGTATAAGGCGGAGCCGATGAGGCTTGTCAATCAAGCCATCACCGCATATATCATTATGCTCTGTCAAGCAATTATTGTCAGAATTTTCGTTATTTATGGACATTTTCAGTCTAAACTTTTTTCCCATTTGATTTCATCTTATTCGAGGCCATTTGCATCAATTTATTCCTTTATTTGTACTTATTATTTTTTCATCATAAATTATATTTTATACTTTTTTTATCGCACTCAGAAGATAAAATATTGTTAGATGTCATAACAAATATTACCACAATATATTAATATTGCCACAATGTTTTGCAAGTATAAGTACAAATTTTTGGCTAAAACGATGACACTAAGCAGCAATTTTTTTTAGAGGGGTGGATAAGAAATTGGCTAGGAATACCAAGAAATGGCACTAACACAATCGCGCCACTAAATAATTATAATATCGATCCAAGTAAATACTAATGGATATAAAAATAAAAGCAATAGTTGTCGTATGAAATACAAGCATTTTCTTGAAATCTTTAATTTTGACGGATGAAGGAATTTTAAAAATCTGGCAATTACCTAAAGATTTTATGCAAAATTTTCACCAAAATTTTGTGCTGTGCTAAAGTTCATTAATTAATTGTTCGAAAACAATTTTAGTGGTTTTTAAAGGAATTTTAGTTGGAAAAAAAGGCAAATAAATGTGGAAGTAGATTTTTCAGATAATTTTCCATTTACAATAAAAAGTGCATAAAAAAGAAAACTTTTTTCTTAAATAAAACGCCATTTTACTGAAAGTTTTTAGAGATGAATAAGTCTGAAAAGTCTTTTTTTCGCTATCAGCCTTATCATTCTGGTTTAGCTCGTTCCATTGATTGATTGATTGATTGATATACCTCTTTCGTCGGAGAATTTTTTGGGAATAAGAGTACAGGTGATGTCGCAAGCATCATCCGTCATTCGAATTTCATAATGATAAGTTTACCACTGTTAAGGAGCGAGAATTTAAACCCACATGATGCTTGACTCCAGTCGAAAGAAAATACTACTATTTTCATGCTGTTATTGACAAAGAAAGTAGTAATTTCCGTAAGGTGGAAAGTTAAAATTTTCGACTTTGGAAAAGTTCAGACAGCAAATTAAGTAAATCCCGTTTCCAGTTTTCAAAAAAATTTCCTTGGCTTGGAATCTGAAAAGGCACTACCATATAGTATTTAATATAGTATTTCTGGCATCCAACAGATCAGGAAGAAAATAAGGAAGTAATAATGGCGACTAGCTGAAGAGTTTTTAAGCCAATCCACTGCATAATTTTAATAAATATCGCAAATATATATTTATAATCAAATATTTTCATGGAAAACTATGATGTAATAAATACTTTTAATTTATTGTGAATTATTGATATTGCCCACCACCAGAAGGAAAAATATGCCATGCGATGAAGAAAAAAATTACCGGAAATAATTCAAGCAAATATAAAGATATGACAAGGTTAAGAAATGCAAGCAAGATAATATATGTATATGACAAAACACGATCACCTCTGACCTTTTCTAAGTGCTATAATCAAATCCCAAGCATGCAACGAATGAATACATGTCGTTTCGTGGTTTAAGAAGAAAGCTTTCACGACCGCCTTCTTCACTCACCATTTGTAAGACGATAAAAAAAAAACATAAAAACTAGATAAATATTTCTTGTCGCAAAAAATGCGAATTTCATTCATTCTATCTCCTCATTTAATAGGTTTTCAAAAATCTCAACAAAAAAGGAAGACAAAACAATCTGCGATTAAAATTTTTAAATTTACCTAAGCCAAAGAAATCGTGAGTGCTATTAAAAGCAGAATAGTCAATTTTGATTTTTTGTCATCCTCATATTAATACAGTCGGTAGCCCTGGATAATCTTAATGTTGAACTTATCAAACACTCATATTTTGTTTTAATTCTTTCTACAAACAGAGAATAAGAAGATATCGCTTCACCATAAACTATTTCGCAAAGTAAACAAATAAGTTAAGAAACTGGATATAGTGCATTCTTGGCAAATATTCAAATAGAATATGTAGCTGAAATATATAGAATAAGCAGTACTAAGTGGATAGATATATCGATCAGTGCCTAGTGAATGATCATAGTAGATGATGACCCCTGACAATTTTATGAATCGATCTTAAATGAGGTCCTTAAGTGCGACCGGCACCACCAATCATCAAATTCAATTATGCCATTAAATGTACTAACTTATTAAATAATAAGATGCAGTACTGGCTAGCAATAGCACAGCATCATAATTTAAAGCCATTGCTTTATTCTTCCTCTCGATTTTTTCATAACTTTTTAAGTCTCGAACATAAGGTTAAATCGGTTAAATTATACTTTCTATGACTTTCAACCATCTGAAGCAGTTATATTATTATCGGCGAAAGAGGATAAAAACCAAAGTGAGAAGAGTTTTTATTAGTATTCACAGTGATGAAC